TTTATAATATAAAATGGAGAGAGCTATCTGATCATATGCAACTCTAAAAATATTTTAATCAAAGATTTCTTTCCACATTGTGATGATAATTAATTGGTTTATGTAATCGCTTATAAGTTTAATGGTAAGGACTTTAAAGAATGACTTAAATCAGAGAGCATTTATTGTTTCTCACATACATTCTCACAGTATTTTAGGATAGAATTGTCAGGTATGGATACTGGCCCCTTAGGGACCTAAAACTACATTAGATGAAAAGGAACTGCAATTATGTACATGTAAGACAATTCTCCCAGGAGTCTTAGGACTTATGAAGTTTTATTTTTTAGATCTATGCCATTATTCTAACCTTCCTTGGATACTATGCAAGATAGAAACAATAGAAACAGTTTCATTTCCCTGAGCTCCTGGGCTCAACCAGGTGATCAATCACTTGATATTGCTGCTTCCACCTTTGAATTTTATTGTACTTTTTAAATTTTATTTTTAAGATCTGTATATGGAAGAGAAGAAACCTCTATGAAAACTTGGCCTTAATCCTAAATTAATCCCTTTGCTACTCTTTCCTTTACCAATTCCCTTTCCTCTATTGCCTCCTTCCTCCCTAGAAAGGGAGGAAGAAAACTCACATCTGCTCTTATGTTCCTCCACCTGCTTCTGTGGGTGAGGCACAGAGCTCTTCCCCTGATTTGAGCCTGAAAGCCCCTGTGCCATTTAGTGATATTCCTATAGAGTATTCCACAGTGTATCTCCTTTGCCTTGCCCTTCTGTCATCACTTTCAGGTTTTTGCTAGCTCTTGACCATAGCAATAGGTTCCAAGCGGATCTTCCCAAAAATCTGATTTTCCCTGAATAATATAACTGTTTAACGCACTTCCCAGCTCAAAAGTGCTCAAAAACTCTCTGAAGTATATCAAGCACATTACAGGCTTTTCATCATGTCTTTCAAAATTCTACAATTTCTTGTCTCAAACTATGTTTGGAGGCTATCTCCCTAGTCCTTTTAATTTACTCTCTTGAAGCCAAAATTCCAGCCATTGCCAGAAGATTCCATCAGCCTGTTTGTATCTCCTTCTTTCACATGGAATGTATGACAGTCTTCCAGTGATGTTGATGGGCACTTACTGTAAATTTACAAATTGTCACTGCTTGAATGAGTGTGACTGAATTAATGATGATTAGCAATGGGTGTTTCAAGTGACTGCCTGAGGGAATCTACCAATTTACTCTTAACCTTTCCCCCCTAAGCTGATATTGCTATTTACAATATTTTTTGAAGGTTAGAATGATGGGAAAGATATTTTCCTTGATTCATTCTTTAATAAAGAGAAAATTTATTTATTAAACTAAAATATTTTTATTATACTATATTCAGGCAACCCGGGTATCCACACTGAATGTGTGAGTGGAGAATATGACTATGCAACTCTACTGACTAAGCCTAAAGTTTTGAACAGGAACACATTGAGAAGGAATAAACATCCTTAATTCAAATAAAAACCTTGCCCCATAATTTAATACTTTCATCTGTTAAAATCTTATCTACCTGCAAAGTCTCTGTGTTCTTTTTCTGTAAGACCTTATGTCCTCTGTATCAAGAAACTGTTTCTCACATCTACCTGAAAGACTCACCCTTTGGAGATCTTGGGGTACACATCACACCCACCAAAGTTTATTTTGTATCTATTGCACTTCAGTGGGAGTTGGAGTCACCCAGGTACTACGGTGGGATCTGTAGTCATCCAGGTGCATAAGGTAGCTTTCTCTGACTACAAGCTCTCACCATCTGGTGGAGGAAGGAGACTGTTACTGTGATACTGATTCTTAAAATCACTGTCTTCACCCTGTGTAAAATACGGGTGAGCTGCCATGGCAGAGGAAAAGATGGAGGAGTTAATGGTCTGAAGGTCAAGGGGTGTCCTTCCAGGGCAGCAAACCTTTGACCTCTAAGCCCTGGAAGATGAGGTGTGGAAAGGGAGAAAGGCAGGGCATGTTCAGGAATGGGGAGTTGCACAATGTAGCTGGGGCCTAAGGAGCGTGGAAATAGTAGAAGAGAAGATTGGAAATGCAGTTTGGGGTCAGGCCAAGGAGTTTGAACTTCACCAAGTATTTAAAGGAGTGACATCTAGGGTGTTTTAAACATCAAAATAAAACTTCAAATCTCATGTTTTAAAAAGTTAACTCTAGTGATACAATGAAAGATGGATTGGTAGGAAAGATGGATTCAAGATAAAAATTAAATTAATTTTTTCAGATCCAGAAGTATCTTATATTTCCTTTAAGACCTTTGATACATCTGGGTTTTATAATTTAGAGATATTTGTACCTATTCCTGTCCTATTAATAAATTGGGTCTTGTCTAAAGTTGGGTCTTGTCTGAGGTCTTAAAGGACCACTTCTTTTTGAAACATCCAAGAATTATGGGAAATTGGATTTTATATTATAAATATATAAATACTAGTAGTTGTAGTTTTTTTTTGTCTAAATCTTTCCAGATGATAAAGGAGATAAGGCATTTACTAACATTAAAACACATTAACAATGTGTATATTTGAAATCATAATAGTCACTCATGCCTTGCTCTATGTGCTATGCCAAGCATATATATGAGGTCACTTTGTATTTTCAGTAAGTTTACTGTATGCATTTTACAAATATGGTGAAGTCCAGACAATTTAACATGACATGTCAGGAACAGCATCATGTAGTAAATTTTTCTCTGTTCATGAGTCTGTTTTTTTTTTATTGTTTGTTTTTTTTGCATTGCTAGTTATCAAACACAGGGCCTCATGTGTGCTGAGCAAGCCCTATACCTCTGAGCTACATCCCCAACCTGAGTCATCTCGGTCTTTCTTTGTACCTTAAATGTGTTCCTTCTTCAAAAATAGGAACTTGCTTTTGCTGTTACCTCTTCCTGGCAGATTCTTTACCTAGATATTTACAAAACTGACCTCTGCAGTCTTTTGTGTTACCTACTGCAAGAAGCCTTCCTTTTGTACATTCTATGTAGTGTTGCACATTTCTCTAGTCCACTTTCTTTAAGGTATATTGTTATTGGAAATTATGTGTTTACTTGTTTAGTGTCCGTCCCCAATCTTAGGATATCAATTTCATGAAATCAAGTACTTTGAATGTCTTATACACCTCTGAATTACATGTCAAAGCATTTGAGAGAGCAGTTTCTGGAACTTAGTGTACATTCAACAACTCTCAATGTGAAGGCTGGATGGGTGAATGGATGCATAAACATCTGCAGAGTCCAGGCTTATTTCTGGTCCCAATCTCTAGTATTTTCATTTTGCTTCCTGGCACCCTGGAATATAATCCTTTGAACTATGTATCTGGGATCAAGGTGGATAAACTTTTTAAGATCAAGTACTTGCTCACGAAGGGAAAGAAAAGATCATTCTCATGAGACCATATTACTTAAATTAAGCATGTAGTTCATAATACCTGGGAAGTGTGATTATTTTAGAAGCAAACATTTCTGACAAATTATTTCTAGTATTTTACTTACCTTTTCTTATGTATTCTTGCTGACTGAATTTTGTGGAATATTGGAAATGGCATAATTCTTGTCTTGTTTTTCTTTATTTTTTATTAAAAGCTCAGACATTTCAACAGGCCTATCCAATATATTAGTGAATTCAGTTGATTTCCACACACAAAATACTCAGTCCTAAGAGCATAAACTCTTTCTTTCCTCAAACTCCATTTTTCTTTTATGGTGTAATATTGGCCTTTTGGAAATATACTTTCCTTGGTCTTGGTGGAGTCTGAGATGACTGATTTTGTCACAAACACATCTTCTCCTCTCTTCTCACCATCCACATATCTAGGAGTAGCTTGCTGTTTAACAACTAAGTCAGAGATAATGGCCTGTGAAAGAATCTTTAAGTATATTTCTCAGTATTTTGTGAAGTAACATGATCTTAGCTCAGTTAATTAATTTTGTTAAAATTGTATGAAGGGGTTCATACAATTGTAAAATAATTCAAAGGCAACCTGCCCTTTACCTTGATCCCTACCTTCTCCGAAAACATGGTGTAATAGAAATGAACAGAATAATGGTTGACAAGCAAAATTTTAAGGCATTCTAAATATCACTGGTTGGTTTAATAAAATTAATTAGCCTGCCACGGAGAAAATTTACTAGCGTGCTGGTTAATTTCACAATGTAAAGTCAGGGAAGGGAGCTAGGGTTGAGGGGAACAAACCTTATTAGTTTTGAATAATTATTTAAAGATGTGGGCCTGCCAATTTCAAACACTTTGATAGCCAAATCCATTAAGGTTTTAAAATCTCCATGTCTGTATCCCTGCATATGCAGGAAGGAACCTCTCCAAATGAAATAATAAGCATATTAGTTAACTGCTAAATGATTCATTTAAGATACAAACAACAAGTAGAATCCCAATGAAACCATAGGACCTTACCTTAAAACTGGCTCAGGGGAGGTTTCTATAATCTTAATTTGCCATTGATGCAATTATTGCTCTTTCTTGTCTTTTTAATCCAAACAAGATGTTTGCAGTGGCTGTGGAAAGGTGCCTGAAATCACATGCCTGAATTCATTTAATTTGCCAACATTGTCTTTTTTCTCTCTCCCTTTATGGTAATGGGCAAGAGTCAGTTCTGGTGCATTAGGTGCTAAATCTCTTCAATTACCAGCCGGGAAGAAAGATTTAAAATTGTGCTTCAAACCTACAAACTGATTTAGTTTTAAAGCACAAACACTTCTCCTGTGGAGCCTAAATTAAACTACAGAAAGGACAAAAAGCCTGAGGAATCAAACAAGGCAGGGCGAGGGATAGGAACCATTTTTGTTTTTTTTCATTTGAGCCCCCTGGTGATAAAGGAAGGGGGGGCAGAAACAAGTTGAAAGATGCAACCCGTGTAAGAAAGAACAATATTAAGGTGCTTGGAAGCTGGGCATGGAGTGAATATTGGTATTGAGATCAAATAAATTTCTTACCTTTTTCTTTTTCTCTTTTTGGCAGCCATTTTTAACGTGGATGATTCTGTGGTTGATCTGGAGACCCTAGCAGCCTTATATGAAAACGTGAGTGTCAAAGATAGACAAAGCTGGAATTTTCATATTTTCTTTCAACGCTGAAAATCTCTAAGCCATTCATGTTCTTTGGTCATAAGAACTTTGACCTAGCATGGAAGAGTTTAATAATGGCATAGGGATGCAAGCTGGAGTGGGAGCAGACACGAAAGGAACGTAACTCCCACTGTGGGATCTGGGTTGGTAGATCTCACTGCACTTTGCAAAGCAGAAAGGTTCAAGGTGGAGACCACATATGTGCCCTGGAATCCAACCATATTGCTTGATAGCAGAGTGAGGGCAGGGAGGCCGACCACATGATGTAGGCATACACCCAAGTCTTCCTTTGAGGAATAGGACTGCTAATGCCTGCTTGGATGCTTACCTAGTCCACACAGGCTGATGGCAGTGAATGTGGGGATCAGTTCAGTATGCCGAGGAGGATGTGTCTTGAATTGAGAGTCAGAAAGTCTAGGTTTGAGGTACACCTCTACCAGTGCTTGCTGAGTAACTTTCTACCAGTTATTTAAGTGGCCAGTTACTGTTTGATCATCGGTAGAAGAGATTGTAGGTAGGATTCTACCTGAATTTTTTGGGGGGGGACCAAGTAATAATTTAATATATATAGAAATACAATGTTTCTTGAAAGTAAAACCGCACTATACACACATTAGTTCTTTCAATTTGAGTTATATGCGGAAATAACCAGCAGAATGTGCAGGAAAGATGATATTGGAGAGTCAGAATCCCCATGAATTTGAATTGATGTAATTATTGCTCTTTCTTTTCTTTTTAATCTAAACAAGATGTTCACTGACTGTTAGAATGCAAAAACAAACAAACAAACAAACAAACAAAAAAAGATATATAAATTGAATGAGATTCTCTTAAGTAATGGTATTTCCCAGGGAGCTGCCTGAGACTCCAAAGTATGTTGTGAACACTCAGCTCAAAAGATGATTCATTTTAATATTTATGTCCCCTGGGACCTTAAATCTCTTAAAGAAAATTTCCATAGTTTAATATTATAGGCCTGGTGGGATTGCCAATTCCCTGCTCATTTCACATCCTTTGTATACATCAGAAGCTATTTAGTATAACCTGGTGGGAAGTTCTCATGTTTTTTGTCAATAAAACTTTCATTAATAAACCCAAAGGCACACAAATACCAGACCATGGGGAATTAATCCTGCATTTCTTGAGTACCTGGAGGTCAGCGTGTTATAGTAGAAGGAAGGATTTCAAATCAAAAGCCCTTTACTGCTAGCTTAATGTGAGCCTCAGTGGATACTTGTGAAATGAGGATACCTTAATTGATGTTAAAGAACTTTGTCAAAAGCAAGGTACCTTCCAAAAGCTTTTTGTTGTTACTTTGGGCTCAGGACTTTGCACATGGATGGTACTTGTTAGCACACAATAGAGACAAGCCATACACAACTGAAATAGTTGGATAAATGGAGAAAGTGTGTGATTAAATATAAAAAAAAAGTTGTAGACACAGTACTTACGAAATTCAGAAAAAGGGGTGCTGACTTCACATAATGGAGTGGAAAGCCTCTGGAAGTTAGAGCTGTTCCAAGAGGATATAAACAAATATGAAGGACGACTTGCCCTTTATCTACTTATAGGGAATCGAAGGTAGCAAACTAATGTCCTGATTTCTGTTTCAGGCTGAGTGTACTGGTTATGACAATTTGCATTTGCCAGTGATTCTGAATGTTAACATCCATCAAAATCACCTGGAGGGTTTACTGGACTTTGGAGTTTCTTATGTTTGGGGTGGTGGTGCCAACAATTTGGATTTCTAACAGTGGACAACAGCAGCATCAACATCAACAAAACCTTAAAGGATTCATGCCTTCTTCCTTCCTCAGTTACCCTTTTGGTTAAAATGTTTCATCTAAAAAGAAATGAAAAGTTTCTAGACCAAGAAAGGGGAGTCTTGTGGGAGAAGGGGCTTGATACATACAGAATCCAGGAGCTAATGCTGATACTGCAGGTCCGGGGACCACACTTTGAAACCTATTGCTGTAGATGGATTTCTCATTATTCATTTAGTTTTGTTTTGTTTTCTGTTTCACTACAGAGAGGCCAAGAAGATGAATTGGTTAAAATAAGAAAATACTACGAGACATCCAAAGAAGAAGAATTAAAGCTGCTGGACAAACCTGAACAGTAAGGACACTAAAACAGTTTTCTGTTAGTACAAAAGATAAACTGTAGTTTCTCACTCCTTGCCTCCCCATTCTGAATAATCAAGTCTAAATTGTGCAGTGAGCTGAGTTACAACACCGTCCTTCCTGTGACCTATTGCGTACAACAGGGTGACCCGGCTGCCGGGAAGAGCAGCACTGAGCTTTGTGCTGCTGGATGCAGTGTATTTCACACCATGCTCCCACCCCACATGACTCCCCTTGCTTGGTCTAGCAACTTTTTAATTCCTTCTAGACTAAACATTTTAGCCAAAAGGGTAACTGAGGAAGCAAGAAGGAATTACTTCATTTAAGATTTTGCCAATAGAGTGAAAAGGATATTGGAGTCCCAGAATTCAAATTGATTTTCTTAAATGTCATATTCGGTAAATATAACTTTAATGTTCCAGATTTCCCCCAAACTTCTCCACTTGTTCTGCCCAAATTCAATGCTACTTTCCCATCCTCATTCTCTGTGGGCTTATTCTTCACTCACTTGAGATGCTTCTCTGTTCTTTGGGATGTCATTCCAAATTCTTTGAAACCCAGAACTCTGGTGCATAACTGAGTTCTTGGCTGGGCTCTTCGTGTCTGCAAGCCATAGACTGGTTCCTGGGGTTCTGCAGCCTATGGGCCCAAACACCCTTTAAGGGGCCTTAGACCTGATTTTGAGTGGACAGGGGCCATCATGCCTGTTGTTATCTTGAATGTTTCATGTCCAATTCAGGCTAGCCCTCTCAACCTAGAAGCAAGGCAAGTACAGAAAGCAAACCAGAAAGGGAATAATCCAATTTAAAAGCAGAAAGGAATTGGAGTTATCAGATTTAGCACAGAACCACAGACATCCAAGTTTCTGTGGCTTCTGCTGAAGCCTCCCTGCCTTGTTCATGGGTCCCCTAGGATATTCCACTCCCAGTGAATACCTGGACATTCTAGGCCCATTAAAAATACCTCTAACAAGTAGGTTTGTGGGTAGGGAAAGATGCCTAGGTTTGTTCAGTTACTGACAACCTTCCTGATGTTTTAAGAACCTTGGATTAGTTCTTCTCACATGGAGTTTTTGACAATACCCCTTGCTCTAAAACTAGTTCACAAAGCCTAAGAATACTACAAATTGGCTCAAATAGGATTCCACTGCCCTTCTGCTCCACTGACCAGAGCCACCCTCTTTACCAGCTCCCGCCCCAGCTGATTCTGTGGCTCATTCCCAAGACATGTTTCCTCATATGTTATATAAATGAATTCCTATTAAGGTGCTGATGACTGAAAGCGAAGTGACTGATAATGGAAATGGAGGGGTGGCATTTGGGAACCATAGGGCTTATCAACAATTTGGGGTAGGGTTAGTTACGCCAAGTTGTGTAGTGGAACTCAGTTCTAACCCTGGAGTTGGCAAACTTTCCAGTGACGGACCAGATAGTAAGTATTTTAGGCTTTGTGCATCAAGGACTCTGTCACAGCTACTCAAGTCAGCCATTGTAGTACAGAAGCAACCATAGACAATACATATGCAGAAGACATGCCCCCCCCCCAAAATTTTACTCAGGTATTTTATTTAGTCAGCTTTTTCGCTGCTGTGACCAAAAGACATGACAAGGACAATTTTAGAGGAGGAAAAGTTTATTTTGTGGCTCACAGCTTCAGAGGTCTCAGTCCATGGGTGGCTGACTCCATTCCTCAGGGCTCAAGGTGAGTCAGAATATCATGGCAGAAGGGTGTGGTGGAAGAAAGCAGGTCAGGATGTGGCCACCACTAAGCAGAAAGAGGAGTTCTGCTCAATAGGGATAAAATATAAACCCCAAAGGCAGGCCCAAAGAGACCCACCTCCTCCAGCTACACTCTTCCTGCCTATAGTTACCACCCAGCTAATTCTTATCAGAGAATTAATGTCCTGATTAGGTTAAACTTTTTATAACCAGATCATTTTATCTGTAAGCTTTCTTTCATTGACTCACACAGGAGCTTTTGAGGAATCTTAATCTCTAAACTATAACTCTGGAAATACTGAAATTTGAATTTCATATCAATTTTATGTGCCATAAAATGTTATGCTTCTTTTGATTCTTTTTTCAACCATTTGAAAGTATGAAAACCATTCTTAGTTCATGAGCCATAGCAAAGTACATGGCAAATTGGCTTTCACCCATGGTCTGAAATTTGCTGACCCCTCACCCACTCAGCAAAACCTGCTCAAGCTATGGGGATGGTGATGGGTGAAATGAGCAATTGAGGAGAGAGGCTTTGTGTTTCTGCCACAGGAGAATTTCCCTTTTTCTTTTGTGCTTCTGCCTTTTAGCTTTACTTCTCCAGACTAATTGCGAGGATGTAGAATAATGGTGGCAAGTAATTAGCAAACAACTAATTATTCCTGGTTTTTTTTTCTGTTGATTTGATGATCTAGGTAGAAGAGCAGTTATCTATCTAGCTATAGTACTGGGGATTGAAACCATAGGCCCGCTACATTGAAACATGCCCACAACTCTTTTTTTTTTTTAATTGTATTTTTATTTTAAGACAAGGTCTTGCTTAGCTGCTAAGGCTGGCCTCAAACTTATCCTCCTGTGTCAGCCTCCCAATTCACTAAAATTACAGGCATGCACCATAGCACCCAGCTAGAAAAACAATTTTAAAGTTTATGAATGGTTATTGTGCTGACTTCCTGGACACTCACAGTTATTACTGACAGCAAAGAGGACCATCAGGTTGTGTTGGTGAAAAAATGTGCTTGGGCTCAGGTGGTGGAAGGTGAGGCATGGAGAGGTGGGGGCCCTGGGATCTGAGTGAATTTAGCCTTTGCTCTAGACCTCCTCTACCATCTAGCATTTATTTCATTTATGCCAGAGGCTGATTCTCTGGCAACTTAGTTACCATTAACTCCAAGAGAGTGGACTATAAGCATGTTTTACATACTGGAAAATATGAATCATTTATAGTTAGCATTACAGTTTCCTAAGGATACTGTGGTGCCCAGTCCTATAAATCATAGCACGACAGGGCTGGTCTCATCACTCACCTCATCAACTCCCCTACACCCAAGTGCCAGATTTGGAAAGTCATTTCCCACAGAGGTGTCGTCTGCGTGGGACCTGGCTGTCTGAGAGCCACTCCCTCTACAGATGGCCCTTGATTCCCTTTGTATTCTCCACTGAGATGGTGGTGCTGAGGCGAGTCGAGTCTCCCCGGGAAATGGCTAGGCCTGATGCACCCACCCTGGTCTTGAATAAGGATGCCATTTATATCTGTTGGGATGCTTCGCTGGGATCCACAGCTATCTTAGACCTCTGCAAACTGGGATCTGTTAGTGTTGTCCTCCCTAGAAGGACCCAGGTTACAGTTTGGAATCACACTGTGTATATAGCCCTATGTGCACATGCACTTCAGATAATACCATTCAGAGATTTAAGGAATGATGATAAACCACATTATTTTCTTTAAAATAAAGGGCCATGAAGTATCATTTCCACTGCCAGCTGACTTGCTGTGGTGGATGTGTAACCCACAGGCACGAGGCACAGAACTTCTCTTCCTTATATAGACTGAAGTTGCAGTCCTTCCTGGGAAACTAAGCCTGCTTTTGTGGCTTCTTCAGGCTTCTCTATTATGGAACCTAAATACAAAGTTAGACTATCTCAAAAATCATTCAGTCAAATGAATATTTGTAAGTACCAAGGCCCAGTGTTCAAGGTATAGGCTCTGCCTGGAAATACATCAAAGGTTATTATCCCTGCATCTGTGGGTATAGTATAAAACACAGTTGGGGAAATAAGATATTTATCAGGTAATTACTTTCAATAGCCTATTCTTCTGGTATTTTGTAAGATAAATGCAAAAGGAATTCTGGTTCTTTCCCTCAAGAATTTACATGGCTATTTTTGAACAGAAAATGATATAAAGTCACATTTTTTTTTTCCTAAATTTTCTTCTCCGGTATTCTGTATCTTCCCATTCTATGAGATATGTCAAAACCCAAACTCACAAGGCATCCTGGACACTTGTCAACATCCCTTGGGAGTAGTTGGGTCTTGCTGCATTAAGACTGTCCCATCTTTTACAACTCTGCAGGCCATCTTGTCTTTCCTCTTGGAAGATTGTAGCAGTGGTCTCATAGGTCTTCCAGCTTCAAATCTGCTGTCATCTCCACTCTGCTGGGCTGTTGCCATGGTGTTTGTCTAGAACAAAATCTAGAAGTATTGCTTCTCTGTTTAATACCCTTTATTCATTCATAAAAAAAAATTAACTCCTTAATTTAGAATATAAAACCCATGTTAGCATCTGACTTTTGCTCATCTCCCCTGTAGAATGCGTTCAACCTGACAGCTCCTCTCACACACAAGCATCACAGGGCTCCAGGAAACCCAGCCAACAACACCCTCCAGGGCTCTGACTCACATCAGTACCCCATGATGGCTTCCCATCATCCAGAGCACTTGACACACTCCACAGTAATCACTGATTTACTTCTCAGAGTGTCAAGAAAGAATTGTGTGTAAGTTAAATCCTGTTCCCAGGTCTTAGCATGGTGCCTAACACCTTGTAAATTCTATCACACATGCTTGAAGGACTGGCTGACTGTTCTCAGGGCTGATGCTCTAGTGCTTATTTTCAGTGATAAGGTTCTAGCCAAAAGTAATGTGAAATCCCTCAATTCCCACCCACCTCCAACTCTGTGTATGCATTCTAGACTCTTCACCATACAGAAAACTATGAAACTTTTGGAATCTTTGAGAGTCTTCAGAGTTCCAGCCCTAATCCCTGTCAGGTTTAGTCCAGGAGATGCTCTAAATTCTATTTTTCTTTTTCTTGAGTAATATAAGTTAATGAGCGTATCGTCTCTTGTCTTCTGTTTGTCCTGAAGGTCCTCTTTGAGCCCGTTAATAAGTCATTGCCTGCTTTTCATTTCTATCCTTGTGGGTGAGCTGAGGTGTTGATGTGTGTGTTCTCTTGTGGTCGCTGTAACTACTTCACTGCTGTGTTCATTTTAAGTATGACATGTACATATTGTGAGGATCTTCTGGGTCCTGCTCGGGGAATGATGTGTCATGGCACATTTGGGTGGTGGTGGGGAGAAAAGGGGGTCAGGTAGAAATGAAGGGAAGTTTCTTTAGAGAGCTTTCAGCATCTATATAAATTTCCCCAAGACTCATCCCAAGACCAAATGCTGCTAGTCCTATGAGCTTTTTATTTCTCATATATTTGTGAAAACCAGGGATAACCTTGGTGGCAGTCATGATAAATGAATCATTTGTTTAATTCAATGTTGTATTTATGAAGAAACAGTTTACATACAGTGTAATTTTTTTCATCTTGTCCCAATGCAGAATTCTTGAGTTTCTACTTTTATATTATATCATCTAATTTTCATAATAATCACTTATAGAACTTAAAAACAAAGCTGTGTTTTCTTTTGGGTATCTTACTTGCTTCATCTCAGTACCATTTAACAAAGGGAGAGACCATGACCTGATAATTAGAAATTTCTGAATAGGTACAGAATATAAGCCAAGAAAACTTTTTTTGGGTATAGAAAGAGGGAGGCTCCAACTTTGCTCCTCTATAAAACCATTCTTGGTGAGAGATTGCAAAATTTCAAGGTAATGATGTTTTGAGTTGACCAAGACTTTCAGAAATATCAGTTAGTCATCATTTTGATTCCAAAACGAAATTAATGTCAGTTAGTGGATTCTCTCCCTTTCAGAATTCATATCCAGCTGTTTCCACCCTTTTCAGTTTATACCCTTTCCTCTGGTGGTTGGCCTGGAGAATATGTAGCTCTTCCAACTTAATTTTGCAAAGGACATCAGTGCCCAGCTGCTCAGACAGTGAGCTACTGTGTGTAGGTCAGTACTCACCTTTAGCTTTTAAGATCTGTCTTGCCATATTTTTAAAGAAACTTAAAATTGTCTACTTCATGAGTATCTGCTTTGTTCCAACTACTGAGCTAGGAACTGTGTCTTTGTGGGTAAATTGATATGAAAAATAAACACATATATGGAGAATTAGATAATTATAGACTTATGTAATTGAGCAAAAATAATAGCGATCTCACTTTTTAAGTCATTTAACCATAGATATTTGCCTCAAGTCTTCCCTCTGCTTAGACTGCAAAAATATACCTTTAGAGAATGCTGCACTACATTACAAAGAAGTTTATTGTATAATCTTTTTTTTTAAGAACTAAAGACTAGAGCTTTCCATTTGGGTTTAATTTGGTTCTGGTAGCAGGATATAGATAACTTGTTCAGTACACATGCATAACCTTCTGTTCCTAAAGTAGTTTATATGCCTTATATTTATTTACCATCATACAAACCTATAAGGCTGTGGCCCCGTCATCAACAACAGAACACATATCCTTGAAATTTTTCGAGTTGACCTGATGCCTTTTAAAATTGCTAAACTGAAACTGTCAAATAAGGAATATTCTCATGTGAGATCTTGATATCAACTCTTCTTATTTTCCTTGTGACCACATATAAAGCAAAATTACTCATTTTTATTTTTACAGATTTTTACATGAGTTAGCCCAGATCCCCAATTTTGCTGAACGTGCCCAGTGCATAATCTTCAGATCTGTTTTTTCTGAGGGCATCACCTCCTTGCACCGAAAAGTAGAGATTGTCACAAGAGCTTCTAAGGTACGTCTGCTGTGCAGTTTGAAAGCTAGCCTTACTCTTATGGGGAATGAAGGAGGAAATCGGGAGAGGGAGAGATTAAGGCTAATGCCGTGTAGAAACCCTTTTGGACTTCATGTTGTGTGCTTTTATAAGGGCAAATGTGATAGTTACAAGTATGTGTGTGCCCCTGAGTGAAAGAAGGAGGGAGTGAAAAGAAGGTCCAGACTGGAGAAGAAAAGGAGGTGGAGGAAATGATAATAATAATGATAAAATAGGAGAAGGAAAACAAATGAAATAGGGAGCTGAAAAAAATTCTAAGCATCTTGAAATTGTAAAAGTTAATAGACATACAACAAACACTTAATAAACATACATTTTAAAAACTTAATAAACATAACCTATGGCCTTAAAACGTGTTATTATAGCTTACCTTTGAGGATCATACCCACACTTGCTACTACACATTTAACGATATTCATCATATAGATCCATACACCCAAACCAGATCCTGAAAAGATATTAAACTTCTTTCTATTCAGAAGTCATCATAGGTTAAGCCTAACTATTCCAGCTCCATTTTATCAATCATTAAATACTTTAAGGTAAGTATTAAAAATAACACTGGCTCAAATGGAAATATGAATATCAAAATTTAATCCTTAGTAAGAACATTTTATAATTTCATTGAGTAGAAAATGATGGCCGTTAATCCTTTATTTCAAAGACCTCTATGCCTTAGTAAAGTATATTTTTTTACTTTGCATTAACCCTATAGGGGTTAAACCACCAAACAATCTATTGAGTTCTTCCTAATAAATATTCATATTGAATGGACGTGAGTACATTTGGGGTTCAGACCATAATAACTGGTATTTGACATTGCAGGGTTTGCTGCACATGAAGAGTGTGAAGGACATCTTAGGTCTCATTCTGGCATTTGGAAATTATATGAATGGTGGAAATAGGACTCGGGGACAAGCAGATGGATATAGCTTAGAAATTCTGCCCAAACTCAAGGACGTCAAAAGTCGGGTATTTATTCATATTTTCATAGTGAGTTCCTATGATCTGCCATCATTTTCCTTCTATGCCTTTAATAACTAAAAAAAAGTATTCCAGATTGTTCCTTTTATCCTTAATCTCCCAACAATAATAATCATTTAGTTGAGAGCATTGCTTTTTTTTTTTTCTCCCTCTCACTGCTTTCTTTTGACTTTGGAGTAAAAACAGGTTTTGCTTATTAGACCTATTTTCTTTTTTTTTTAATTTTAATTTCTTATGTGTGACAGCAGAATGCATTACGATTCATATTACACATTTGGAGCAAAATTTTTCATATATCTGGTTGTACACTATTACACCTATTTTCAATGGTACAATCCTCAATCTTTTTTTTTTTTTTTCTCTCTCTCTCTCTCTCTGTAACTTACATGATAAGGTATTGAACTCCTAATGTAACAAGAGAGAAAAAGCACACAGAATTAGCCGGAGTGCAAAGGCTGTTGTCTGTTTGAACTTAGTGTTGGCTACTTGTAATTTACTCAATCTTGAGTGGCAGAGCACTAGCACCATTGAATCACCAATTGAGCTGAGCATTTAAATTATTCTTTTGCCCACAACAATTGGGCTGGGGTCTACTGTCAAACTCTCTGCGCCTGATTATCACTTGGCTCCACACCCCTGCAGAGCGACCTCTTTAGAAACAGCTAGCCCATATCTAGGCGTCCCTTGGGAGGGCAGGGGGGTGGAAGGAGGGGAAACTCACAGGCAAATTAGAATTAGACCCCTGTGAACAAGACACAAAGGCTGCCTTGTGGGAGGGCCCGCTAGCCCTGGCCTCCCAGGGTCATAAAGTGGCATGGCTTTCCTTTTAAGCTGGCCCTGATTGTTTTTCACGCCATTAAGAACACACATTTTTTGAAAGGTGGGAAGGGAGGGATGGTTTTCTGTTCTAGTCCACAGTTCCCTTTAGCACTCCCCACCCCCTTCTGTCTTGGCTCTATGCCAGAAAATACTGTGCAAGAATTTGTTTGTTTGTTTGTTTTAGCTGTTGTCTCAGAGGTCTCATAAATTATCTGTTTAATTTTTTCCATAAAGGACAGTATATTGTCATTTTTTTGTATATCTGGCATTTAAAAAGTGGATAAGACCAAGAGGAGGGAGGAAAATCTGCCCCATCTCAAATAGAATTAAGACCAGATCTCACAAATAGAAGTAACAGCTCTCCACTATATACCATGGCAGATCTCACATGAATGATTGTCATTGGAGTTTCTCTTTCAAACCTAGGATAATGGAATTAATCTGGTGGACTATGTTGTGAAGTATTACCTTCGTTACTATGATCAGGTAAGAAACAGCATTATGTGGGAAGCTGCACTAGTGGGGTTTCAACTTTTACACATTGTTGGCATTCAGAAATTGGATGATGGATAGTTGGATGGATGGATTTCAAGTCCAACATAGAATCTGGGAGCTCTCCATACTCCTTGGTTTTCAGATGAGAACACTGAAGCCAAGAGAAGTGTTATTACAGAGCACAAACCTACTAACTCTCAATTCACTGTATAATGCAATTCAGAAAGACCCCCTAGTTGCCTTAGTGCCTCCTAACCAGACTGCAAGATTCTTTGTGAACTCCAAATCCATTCAGTAACTGGTCGTAGTTTTAAAACTGGATTCTGCAATATAGAACAACATTTAGAAAATAAGATGCAGTAAAAGAAAGCCCAATATTTTACTACTAATGCTTCTGTGAGCAAATTGACATAGAATTTGAAAACAAAAACAAAAAAAACATTCTTTCTGTTTGGGTTGTGTTTGCAATTAGAAATAAACATGTCTGTAAGAATCCACCTGAACACAATTTCCTGTCTCAGAAAATATTCCTTTTCCTTAAACCAAAAACAAGGAGTCCTAACTTTGAGAAGAAAGAGGGACTGTTGTTTAAGTTGTTGAGAAATACAGTAATCAATATGAACCGAAAAAGCCTCAGAGGAAAATGTTGTCGGGACTCCTGGGTAACTAGCCATGCAAGCTGTATTCTAGGCATAGGGAAAGAAGAACACAGATCCCAGGCCTTGTTCTCGAAGGGTCTACATTTTACACAGCAGACAACAGACAAAGCCCTCATGAGCTCTTTAATGATTCCTGTTACCACTTCCCCTGCAAGTGAGTTCTCAGTGTGTCTATAATCAGACTGATCATTCCACCCTCTCCAAACTTCTTCCCTATTTCTATCAAGGATATCATGAATTTGGGTCATTCAGACGTGAAGGCATATGCTCCTATTTGGTTCTTCTCTGTCCTTCAACTAAGATGTTTCCAGTGTCTTTCCATATTTTTCCTTCCTACTTCCCTCAGCTCTCCAAGGCTTAATATTATCTCATGTGGAAAATTTCAGTGCTGCCCAGCTCTTCACCCCACCTCCATATAGTGCCGGGCTAGGCCATCTCAACCTACAGTCTCTTTACCTGTGGCTCTGATTCCACTATTTTTGCTTAAAAAAAAAAAAAAAAATGACTTCCCCATTTTCAAGTAAATTAAGACTCTACCCCAATTTAATTCTGATTTTTTACAACCACACTTTTATTACTCTTCACTTATTCTGTGATCCAACCCAAGACCCGCTGTTTTCCAAACACACCCCAGGCTTGCTTACTAATGTGTTTTCACTTCTGATGCTCTCTTTAACTCAAGTCTTTTTATAAATTTCCTTTTTCTCCCTTTTAGAAATAAATCTAAACATCCTTTGGGAGAAAATTCCCAATGACATGATTAATATATGTATTATAGATTTACCCAGAAAAGTTTAGACCCTTGAGAAGAAAATTGACATACTTTTACTGAGAATCATAAAAAGTAGCAAAAACAAAAACAAAAAAGACACAGACATGTCCAATGGGTATATGGAAAAATGTTCAACATCATTAACCAGCAGAGAAATGCAAATCAAAACCGCAGAAAGATCCCCTTATACCTGTTAGGATGGCCACTATTAAAACACATATACACACACACATATAATAATTGTTGTCAAGGATGAGGAGAAATTGGAACACTTGAACAATGTTGGTGGGAGGTGTAGATATTCTGGAAAACAGTAAAAAGATTTCTCAAAACATTAAAAATAGAACTACCATATGATTTAGCAATCCCACTTTTAGGTGTTTATCAAAAAGAATTTAAACCCGGATCTTCAAGAGTTATTTGCACTCTCATGGTCATTGCAGCATTAGGAACAATAGACCAAGATTTGGAAACAACCTAAATGTCTATTAATAGATGAATGAGTAAAGGCAACCAAGGCGAATACTTACAATGTAACATTTTCAACTGCAAAAAAGAAAGAAATCCTGTCACATGCTACAACATGGATCAACCTTGAGAACTTATGCTAAGTAGAAAGTATTCCAATCACACATATTACATGGCCCATTTATATAAGTTTGTAAAGTACTTTAGGCTCATAGAAATAGAAAATAAAATGATGCTTGCCAGGAGGTGGGGGAAGACAAAAAAGGGGAGTTGAAGTTCAATCAGAATACAAGTTTTAGTTGTAGAAGATATGAAAAAGTTCTGGAGATAAATGTATAACAATATTTTTTTTCTTCCCTCTCTCTCTTTAATTTTCCTGTATTGGCAATTGAACCTAGGCCAGGGCCTCATGCATGCTAGGCCAGAACTCCATCATTGAGCTACATTATCCCTAGTCCTTTTTTATTTTTATTTCTTATTTTGAGACAGGGTCTGGCAAAGTTGCTTGGGCTGACCTGAAATTTGAGATCCTCCTGCCTCTGTCTCCCAAGTCTCTGGAATTACAAGTGCATGCCATTACATCTGGCACAACAATATTGTACACATAACAACTTAAGATAATAGGTCTGTGGTATATAGTTTTTTACTACAATAAAAAGAAAAAGTAGCATGTACTCTGTACTGGAAATACTGGTTAAATTTTTTAATCAATCTTAGAAATTGACAAAATGATTTTAAATATTGTATGTGAGAATAATTGGACAAAACTTGATTAGGATTAAAAATAACAAAGAATAATTTGTTTATATTTTTAAGTATAATGTAAAAATAAAAGTGTGAAACGTTAGAATAATAGGCCAAAAAACTTGAAATGGAAAGGAGATCTCAGAAATGAACCCAATAAATGTGTTAAGTATGAGATAAATGAGTAATTTCAAGTAATTGGGAAGAAGAAGAAATTCAGTTTTCTCTTCTACCATATACCAGAGATCAAAACAAAATTTAAAGAACAAGAGTTAGATGTAAGAACAAAGAATGAAATCACAAAAGATATGTAAAAAAAATATAGGTAAATAGTTTTCTGATCTTGGGGTAAAAAGTCCTTTCAAAGCATTCAAGCTAAAGCAGAAACCATAAAAGGTGAGAATTATAACTTCAAATTCATTAAAGCAAAAAAAAAATAATTTATAGTGGAAAAACTTTAGTATCTCAAAAATGGTTTAAAGCCAACTTCTAAATAACACAGTGAGGAAAATATTTGCAACATAATTGATACTGAGCTATTTGGAAATCAATAAGAAAAAGATAACTTATCCCTTCTCATAAAAATATGACAAGAGACCCAGAAAATAATTTACAAAAGACAAAGATATAAATTGCCCACTAGATATAGAAGGGCAATGTGAATGGATCAAACCTTTCCCAGGACTTGCACCTGTAGTTAAATAGGTTATTCTCTGTTAGGGTTTCTGAGTCAAATGAGAGATTAGCCTGCCCTTGACTCACTAAACTATATATCCTCTAAAAGGAGTCTTTACAAAAATCCTCATGAAGTTGTCATGTGCTTGTCATGTGCTGAGCTAGCAGGATTTTGACCTCACTATATCAAAAGTCTTAGAAATATGCATAATTTTTTTTTCTTTTTTTTTTTCTTTTGGTGGTGCTGGGGATTGAACTCGGGGCTTGTGCATGGGAGGCAAGCACTATACCAACTGAGCTATATTCCCAGCCTCTGCATAATTTTTCTAGGAATTTGTGTCCTAAGGAAATAAGTATGGATTTTTGTCACTATCCTATTTATAGTAAATAATTTGTAATGACAAAATACTGGAAAATTTTTAGTATGTGTCTAATGGCTGAGACTAAGGTCAAATAAATTGTGCTAGAGTTATACAATGGAATAACATGTTTCTGTTGAAAGTGTATAGAGGAAAACTTGGTGGCATTTGAAAGTATTCTTGAAAGTATTTTAAATTACATGTGTGCATTTCAAAATTGTATGTGTGTATGTATATAGATATACACATAATATAGTATAATCTCAAGTATGATAATGTATATAAACACAGAAAAGAACTTGGAAAGATATATATTAAAATTTTTTAAATTATTTCTGGGTGTTAGGATTATAAGAATGTTTTTACTTATTTATTTCAATGACTTAACATAATGAACGTGTTATCATCTTATAAAGGGGAAAAAACATCATCAAAAGTGATTTAGTCCAGAGCTGCAGTGATAGCTCAGTGCTAGAGAACTTTCCTAGTACATATGAAGCACTGGATTCGATCCTTAGCATGTCATAAAATAAATAAATAAATAAAGATATTGTTTTAAAATCATTTAGTCCAATCAATCGTACCTGCTCCTTCCATGACATTTTTGTCCTGACTTTGGAAGGAAGAATGAAGCCCTCATTTGTGAAGCCTGGGGACTTTTTTTTTAGTCTTTCATGATAACATATCTGCTTTATGTATACATATGTAAAAGCACTAACTCCTAGCATTGCTCCCTGAGATCCAGAATTCATGTTGGTGCTTTTTTAGTGTCTATGATATAAGGCTCCAAAAAAACTGTTGCTGAGTTGGGTACATTGTAAATATCCACAGGACTGTGGAAAAATGATATCTGTAAAGAACTAGGTGTGAAGAGATGAAAGCTGATTTCTGGAGTAGAGAAATTATTGAGCTTTAGAAAATTTAGAAACAGCAATCACACATGTATATACCCTAAGCTGACAATGTGGCAGAAGAACTGTCCTGAAGACTCTTTAGGAGATAAAATTTCTAACACTAGATTAACAGATTTGCCTGGTAGTGTCTGCCTCTACCAACTTTAATGCATGGTACAGAAAGCCAGAATTGGCCTATGAAATACAATTGTCGTGAAGAGAGCAGAACCTAATGGAACTGAGTTCACGGAGGAAAATCTTATAATACGAAAAGTTGTAAATGTGGGATGGGCCCAGTCAAGGAAAAATAAGAAGTCTGCATTTGTGTGGTGCTCTCCTGGCTTTTACCAAGCAAAATGCATTTCACTCAACGAGAGTGTGGAATTATGATTTATGAAGCCATCCTTTCCCACGAGGAGCAAGAGTGATGATGTTTGTGGTTAGTGGTGATGAGCAATTAGCTGAGGAAAGGTGGTTCCTGCTCCAGGCTTCTTGCCTCTCATGCCTAGTGTTAGGTCCAAGCCTAGGTCTGTGGAGGTCCAAGAAACCCATGAAAGTCATGTCTTTTCAACTCTAACTGAGCAGCTTTCACAAGAGCTACTACCAGCCTTATTTCTTAGCAGCATTTTCTCTTTTTTGTAACTTAAAAAAAAAAAAAAAAAAGTTGAAACCAGGGCTGAATCTGATAATGACTTTGAAAAAGAGAAAGAGATATCATACCCCAGTTCTTCCAGTGTAGATGACCAGGGGATTTTGTGGTCAGCACATTAGTTGTTGTTTCATCTTAGCACTCAGACCAAGGATGCTGCTCCCACTGCTTTTAAAGTACTAAAATAAATAGAAGAAGATGAAAAAAATATATATATTATGTTCAGATAAAATGAGGAAAACCATCATCTTCTAGATTCCCAAATGAAGGTAAAGGCCTTAAAGGGAAGGGGAGGGTCCAGGAGATTCTCAAAACAAGAAGAAAATATGGTTATAAATTAGGGTTCTCCTGTTAAAGGTACAGTTTTTCCAAAACAGCATTTTGCAGACAGCATTCACCAATTTGGTATTGATACACCAGATACTAAGAACAAGACCCAGTTCCTGCTGTGGAGGAGTCTGTCATCTAGTACGGATGATATAGGAGCTAACACTACAATTTTTTAATTAGTAGAGCAGTTAATATATAATAATGTAGTTTCAGGGCCTCTTGAAGTATAGGAGAGAAACATACAAATGCTGGGAGTTTGGGGAAGTCTTTGAGGAAGTGACATTTGTTTTGAGACGTGAAGGATGAATATGAACAAGAAGGTATGGGAAGGACTGGAAAGGGACAGTTTTATAGACAAAGGCCTGGAGGCAAGAGACTGTGGCCTTTCTACTGTTCATGGAGGTTTGGAACAGGGAGTTGGAGATGGGGGAAGGCAGAAGTAAGACTGGACGTGTAGACAGAAGCCAGATCATAAAGTGCCTTGTAAAGCAGTTTTAAAGTTTGGAATTAGTCCTAATGGCAGTAGAGAAGATGGAATGTGAAGGAAAACTGGCAAAGTATTGTGTGTAGAGACAGGAATAACTGAAGGCTGCCTAAGATATGCAAGATACAAAGCTTATATTAAACAATTCAGGAAGAAGGCAAGCTAGGCTGGAAGAGATATTTGAAGCTCAGCTTATGTTTCACTGTGCCTGAAGATTTTGTCTTTTAAGATGTTTCTCAGCTAGGATTCTCTATCATGTATAGCTGTGGAGTTTGTTAAAAACCACACCCAACATGCCCTCAGTAAGTTTCTCCTAAGATAAACCAAACAACATTTGGAAAAGCTTTACATATACACAAAAAAATCTGATCATGCCTTCACTAGAACTTCAAGCTACAGAGAAAGGTAGGTAAAAGCAAAGGGTGGGCTTCCCTTCTTCTCTAGTTCAACCCATTGGCATACCCAAGTGTGGGCTACCTAATCACTAGAGTGGGTAACTCAAACTGGGACTGTAAACGTAACTTCTTTCATGCATTTTCTCATGCCTTGTTCCATGGGAATCGAGTGTCGTAAGATCAAGACATACCTGGCAATTTCTCTTTGACTTATAAGGCAAAATAGAATGCATGACATGGCCATAGCTGACCTCAGTGCCAGTAAGACCAAAAATACATTGTGAGCTGTGAAAGTACTTAAACGTAGCGAGTCCAAATATAGGAATAGCAGAGTGTTCCAATGATTCTTATTTAAACATGAAATTTATTTATTGTTTTCCTGACCGATGCTTTAGAATTTCACCTGAAAGTGATAACCAGGAAGTAGAATGTCCTTTTGTTTACCATATCTTTTAGGAAGCTGGAACTGAAAAGAGTGTTTTCCCCCTGCCTGAACCACAAGATTTCTTTCTGGCCTCCCAAGTCAAGTTTGAAGACCTCATAAAAGATTTGAGAAAACTGAAGAGACAACTGGAAGGTAATAGGAACTGTTCTATTATTATGATAGCAGCTAAAATTGCTTTAAAAAATGCTTCAAGAGAATTATTTATATCTGGCTCACGAGATGGAATTGTTACAGAGTTCAGTTATGATCCACTGCTGCCTTCATGGAACTTCGCATCTCTATTCACTGTTTGGAGGAACTATATTTATGTATCTTTCTCTCTTATTAATGGTGATCATTTGCTTATTTTGTCTACATTTTGTCATATCCACATTTTCTAACATTGAGTAGTTAAAACTTTAATAATAATGAGAGCACCAACCATGTATTAAAAACTTCCTCTTATATCATTGTTGTAACAATCCTAATAAATAGGAACTACACTAACTCAGAAAAATTAGGCTTAGATAACTTTTGTTCACACAATCAGTAAGAAGCAGATGTACTGAACTCTAATCAGGTCTATCCAATTAGAACCCATGCGTTTTCTTAGCTAGTTTCTTTCCTGCTTAATACATCTGCATCTGTCTACGCACATGCATACACACACACAGGTCTCTGTATATTTGATTTATGTATGAGTCTAATAATGATAATTACACTCTTGGCAAACATTCTCCTTTAGTTTATATTTTTAATTATTATTCAAAACAAAATGCTGAAAGCTCCTTCTTTTTTTTTTTTTAATGTGAAAGTAGGTCTCACGCGGACAGGAATTTTCCTTTGGCATTTTTAGAGTCTTATGTTTTCACTGTGAAGATATCTCCTTGTCCAGGAATATAAACCCTCACCTTGGAGTCTCTGTAAGTCCCCTGACGCGCTCCATGGAGGACTCAGGGAGCGTGTTAATGTGGAAATGGGGCTTGGTGTGCCAGAAGGCGAGCTTGAGGAAATGGAGAGCTTCAACCAGGAATATTTTTACACTAAGACATAAAATAAACATTTTTAAAATGTTTATTGTGAAAGAGTGCTCTGAAACCTAAGTCTCAGGCTGAGAACAGCTTGGAAATGGAAGCAGAGTAGGAAAGATCTGCTCCCAGTGGCAGAGAAAGCCGTTTAGTTTTTTTTTACTTTGGGCATAAAACTTGCTTAAATAAGGATAGTGGTTACAAGTGAATATTTTTACCTTGTAAATTATTTTTAAAGTGTGTGAGGGCTTTTTTTTTTTTTTTTTTTTTCTCCTCCTGTTGATGTGGCTGAGAGAGTGACTTCAACCAAAGGAGTATACTTTGTTCAGGAATATGATATAGGAACTTATGGTCATTTTTATCAATCTCTTGAAGAACTGAGAGTTTTATCCTTGTCTAAGACAAGGAGCTTGATGTGTCTCATAATAAAGCAGAGTAGACCATCACATAGAAGGTTTTTTCCTGTCCCTCTATGATGGCAGAATTAGGGCCCAGACCAATCCTCGGGAAAGCAGCATTAGCAATGTTGAGGAAGAGCCATTGTTTACACCTTGGGCAGGATCTGAATGCCCATCTCCTGTCTCTTTGCCCCTTATAAAACCCTTGGCCTGACCCCTGTGTAGACTTCTGAGAGGAAACCTGATCTCTGTTTGATCTTTCCCCTTCTCCTTCCAGGGGCTGCCTCCCCATGACATCCTTGTGAGTTTGATGATAAATAGTAAAGGGGTAAGAAGTGTGAATGAGGGGGAGAGAGGGGCAGGGTTTCCCCAAGGCCCTTGCTTTGGTACACCCCATTTCATCTTAGAGACTCTCAAGTGTCATTCTGGATCTCTCAGTACTCAACTGACACTGTCCTCAGCCAATTTTAAGGAAATACAAGAGCTTCTGAGGCTGGTGGAGCTGCCTTAGGAAGGAAAATGGAACAGTGTCTGAGTTATTTTTCTTCTTTGAACGGGGACTTCTCCAAAAGACACAGAATACAACAGAAGTAAATGAGGAAAGGACTCCCACCCACCCCACACACATTGAATATTTAAACAAAAAACGCCCTGCTAATCTTTAGAGATGCCAGTGTTTTTAACACATGAAAGGTACCCAGTAAATATTTAAAGAAAATACAGACCCTGGGTTCTCTAATGAATTTCTTTTTCTTCTAAATACCATCTGGCAAGATGGCCAGAATCCTGGCGGTCCGTTTCATCTCACATCTCCATTCAGGTTTCACCTCCTTTTCCATAAGGCCTCAGTGTGAACCAAGATTGAATGTTTAATTGAAGAGGACATAATTTTCACACATACAGCAAAGATTTGATGAGGCTTTGAGGTTTATTGTAGCCATTAAAGTGTCGTAGCTGCTGGCAAAATCCCAGAAAATGTCTAAAGCTAAACCAGATGTGATTAGCAAATTTCAAGAAGCATCAGGCCCTAGTTCTTTAGCAGCCATGACCCTTTAGAAGAAACTTTTTTTGAGTAGTATTAATCACATCTAAACAGTAGGGTGTGAATTAACTTGAGGTTGATGGTCATACAGATGTCACCGAGAAGTACAAAAGTTGACAATCAGCATCTTTCAGAGAGACAAACTTCTAATAGCACCTTTATGCAAGTAAGATATCGATAATAGTAATAGCTACGATTTTTGTGTGATTATTATTTTTTCAGATGCTTTACATATATCATCTCTCTTAATCCTTACAATGACTCACCCTATGGAGCAGATACAATTTTTGACCTCTCACAGTTTAAGGAAGCTAAAGATCATGGTGCTCAAGCCTGGCCTAGTGATGATCTATTCACATTTTTAAACTGGATATGACTCAGTACTGTAACCTATCCTGCCTCTGGCCTAGAAGTCTTCTTAACATGTTGGAAAAGAGAACAGAGAGGTGTATTTAAAGCATAAAATTCTATGAAGAGACAGATGACAGGGAGTTGCTAAAAGGCATGCACATTCCTAGAAATACATATGTAAACTCTCAGAAAAGACAGATACAGGGACGAACTTAATTTGGGTTGGGAATAGAGCTGGAGAGAAGTACAAGATACATGGGTCTTGAAGCCAATAGATAAACAGTATTGTGTAGGATTAAGAACAAAGGCTTTGGAATCAAATGTGTATTATTTACTGATTTGATGAAAGTTAGATCTTGGTAAGTACCATAACCATAAAAAATGTTCATTTTGGGGGGCTGTGTCTTGGGGGGGATAGCTCAGTGGTGGAGCCCTTACTTAGCATCCACAAGGTCCTGGATTCAATCTCCAGTGCCAAGAAAACAAAACAAAAATATTTATTTTCTCACTTGTAAAATGGGAAGATATGGTACCTGCATCATAGGAAAGAATAAATGCACAGTTTCTTCCTGAGAGAAACTTCCATAAAGCTGAGGAGGGGTGTGTGCCTTGAACTAGAAAGTTTGCAAGCTATAGCATTACCCATGCTTTTAAGAGTCCAGTTGGCTATGTTTGTGGAGCATCTAATTCCAGAGCACTGTGCTCCTTCTCCGCATTGTGAAGACAGAACCAAATCCTTGAGGCTGGGGACATGTTCCATGTTTTCTTTATTTTACTCCACATCCCTTAATCAGACAGTGATTTTGATTTCACTGGTACTGTGCTGTTTTAAGGAATAATTGAGAAATCACAAACCACAGCAATAGTTCCTTTTTTACTCAGCCTTGTTTGCTGGCCTTGTTTTCATTCACTCAAGGTATTTTACCAACTCGTATGTGGTAGGAAAAATAACGGCTCCCAAGGATGCCCACACCTGAATCCCTAGAATCTGTGATTATGTTACCTTACATGGCAAAAGAGACTTTGCCAGTGTGGAGATGGGAAGATTATTCTGGCCTAGCCAAGTGGATCTAATCTAATCACATGAATCTTTAAAATGAGCTTTTAAAAGCTGAAGACTTTCCCTGGCTGTGATCAGAGGGAGATATAACTACAGAAGAATGATCAGAGGGATGCAGTGTTGCTGGCTTTGAAGATGGAGGAAGTGGGCAATGAGCCAAGGAATGTGGGAAGCCTGTAGAAATGGAAAAGGCAAGCAACAGATGCTCCCTCAAGTCAGCAGAAGGCTCTGCATACAGCCCTGTCAACACCTTGATTTTACTCAGTGAGACACGTGTCAGACTTCTAACATACAGAACCAGAAGATATATTTGTGTTGTGTTAAGCCACTTAGGTTTGTTGTAATGGCAATAGGAAATTAGTACACCTTCTTTCTGACTGTGCCAGTTAATACTAGCCACCTAGAGCCTCCAGCCCCCACAACTTTGCCAAGACACATAGGGTTCTTCAAGTAGTGACCCTTACAAATACTATAGGAAATGTGAATTGATGCTCTTCCAAAAGAAATCTATTGGCAAACAAAATTGGAATTTTCATGTACTGTAATCATTTGGTAAGGATTCACAGTTCACATCAGTTTGTAAATGAGTCTGGAAAGTTCTATAGTTAAAAAAAAAGTGAATGTTTAACTCTGTTTAACATTTACCAACATAAAGCAAAAACACATTGGTTTTCTTTCTTGAAACAAATTACTGACCATATATGCAAAAAGCAGTTTAAGAAGAAAGGATATTGATATTTCTGTCAAACTTTTAAGATGAAGAAAACAGTATTTGGTTAAATGCTCATTATTGAATGACCTTATTAGAGTGTCTGAAATGAACAACTGTGGCCTTTGCTCAGTAATGTTGTTCTTAATACCGGCTTGGCTACACTGAGGAGGCAAGTCATGGTAGCCTTACTGAGTTTGTTAGACCTGTAAACAAATACAGTAAATGACATTAAAAATAAATGGCATTCAAAATAAATGACACTGGGCTGGGGGTGTGGCTCAAGCCGTAGCGCGCTTGCCTGGCGTGTGTGGGGCCCAGGTTCGATCCTCAGCACCACATACCAACAAAGATGTTGTGTCCGCCGAGAACTAAAAAATAATAAATATTAAAAATTCTCTCTCCTCTCTCACTTTCTCTAAAAAAAATAAAAAATAAAAAAAATAAATGACACTAATGGCATTCAAAATTAATGTAGTATCATCTTCCCCAAATACACATTGGTTTGACATAATCATATGATACTGTTGATCATGAAAATTTTTTTCAGGCTATGAAAATAGTA